TCCCATAAAGTAATTCATCCCCCTATGACACATTTGTTAAAGGTCAATCATAAGTTTTTAAAGGGATGAGAGAGAGAGAGAGAGAGAGAGAGAGAGAGAGAGCTCAACTTAAATCCCTTAATTAAATAAATCTTAAGTAGTAGATTAGCCCTAGAAGAAACAGCTTGCAAATCTGTATTTTTCAAAAGAAATCGTGACATTTCACAAGTTAGGATGGGTAATATTAATAATGAAACAGGTTATTATATATGATATTAAAATTATTTTACGTGATTTCTAAAATGATGAGAATTAAATTTCAACGAAAACGTTGAATTCAAAAAAGAGTAATACGTGACATATTTAAGTAAATCTCACGCAATAAAACTGAATACATAAGTCAACATATGTTATTAATTTTTTATTAATATGTTTTAAAACCATGAGAGTGAACGGACCGAAGCAGACAGCATCGGCTAAGTTATTACATATCATCAGCTTCTTGTCTAAACTGTGTAGTTGCATTGACTTGCATCCTTAAGTGCCGAGATACGGGTCAATAATTCACCGCCAGCACCACAGCAAAATGATTAATAGTGTTTATCTTCCCTTCAACCCTACTTCCCCTATGCTGATTAGCATATATTTTGTCGAGAACCATTTGAATGAAGTCTCCTTGAAAACAATTGATACAAACAAAAACTAAAAAAAAAAAAATTAACAGAAAAATATTTTCAGTACATATATATATTTTTTTTTGTGAAAATAATGTTTACCTACTTTATTTTTTAAAGATTTAAAAAAATATTATTTTAAAATTACGTCATTTTAATAAACACTTATTTAAAAAAATTAAAATATTTTATTTTTAAAGTATGAATTAAGGTATTTTTTTATTATATTTTTTTAATTTTTTAAAAATAAAATGAATAAATAATAATTTTTTTTATAATTTAAGTATATAAATTATCAAAATACTCTTAATGAATGAATGTACCTTAATGATAATACCTTTCATGTATATTTATTAATGATGTTTTGATAATTTCAGCACTCAAATAGCATAAAAAGTGTAATTTATACCGAAAAAATACTTTTCTCATGAATAAACATGTAAAACTAAAAATAATGCTACAAAATTGCCTTATGATCAATACCAACAAAATCCAATCCACATTCATTGTTAGATTTGTTCGAAGGATCAACACACCATAATCTAGACAAACGAATTATCAAATTTGTCAGGAGGACCAGCACTCCATGACAATGTTGAATTTGATTGTCAGATCCGTATAGAACTAAGGAATCAATTGAATCGAATTGTCGTTCTCAATATAATAATTGAAATTAAAAAAAGAAAAAAGAAAAAAGAGTCAACAAATCAATGTATGGAAAGTTGAATAGCCCACAAATGCTAATCTCCTTAAAAAAATTATCTTCATTGAAAACAGAATTGGAGAAAAAAAAAAACAATGGAGTACAGTGACATAGGAATAATTTTTTTATATAATATTGATGTCAATGTTTTTGGACCCGGCCCGGTGGCTGGCCCGTTTTGACCACTGGGTCCGGGTCAACAGGTTGAACCCGTTCATTTGATCGGTTTAATTGGTCAACTAAAGTCAACAAAAAAACTTTTTTTTTGGACATTTTTATTGAATTTTGCTTTTATACCTTACCTTCACGGTTTCACCCAAAAACGATACAGATCGTTTTGAGTAGAACAGACGAGGGAGATGAAGATGATCGGCGAAAGAGAAGAAGTGCAGCGACGGAGGAGAGGATCGACGGATGCTCGACGGAAAAGAAGATCGACGGACGATTGGCGGTAGAGAAGATCGACGGACGATTGGCGGTAGAGAAGATCGATGGACCATTGGCGGACAAGAAGATCGGCGGACAAGAAGATCGGCAGACGAGAAGATCAGTGGAAGAGACGATCGACTGACGGTCGGCAGATGATCGGTAGACGATCGGCGGACAATCGGCGAACGAGAAGATGATGAAAATTTCAGCAGGCCGGTTGCAGTGGGTCGCACGAGTTCAACGGGCGGGACAGGTCTGACGGGTTTCAACGGGCCATTTGCTTAAACGGGTTGAAGTATTCGACTGGCCCGTTTTCAGGTCCGGGTCCGATTCAACCGGTTCAACCGGTCGGGCCGGGCCAGGTCCAAAAACATTGGTTGATGTGTGATTAAATATGTTGATATATTTAATATTATAGATTTTAAATAAATAAAAACAATCAAGTATTTGCATTTGACTTTTTGGGCCCAATGATATTAGTTACATTGAATAGGTGCATCTCTCTCCTTCTCCCTTTACGTGGGTTTGATTCCGTTTCTTGTCAAATTGCTCAAAAAAATAATTAATTATTTAAATAACATATAAAATTATAAAAAAAATAATAAAAAGATTATTTTTAAATTATTTTCTAAAAAAAAAAAAGAATCAGGTAACAAATCTAACGTGAATATGTGGAGATTTAGTATGAATAAGAATATAATTTTTTAAAAAATTTTAGTTAAGGATACAGCATTCTTTTTTATTAATTAAGGTTAATATCTTTAAAAGGTTGCCAATCAAGAATATAACATTTGTAATTTAAAAAAAAAGGGGGGGGGGGATTAAATAGGTATATAAAGTCATATACTTATTAAAAAATTTTGAAAGATAATAATTTTGATTGGTAAAATTGTAAAAATTATATTTTTAATTAAAAATTTTTAAAAGATAAAAACCTTAATTGATAAAGAAAAAATGTCATATTTTTAATTAGAAAATTTTAAAAAATTATATCCTTATTTATATAAAATCTTTGAATACGTGATAAGAGATGAATTTGGGAGGAAGAATGGAGCCATATAGATAATTAGAAATTTTAAAGAAAAAATAACTTAGATAATTATGAAGAAAGTCATGTTGGTACTAAAAAAAATTTAGTTTGACTGCAATTCATTTTCTATTTTGGAGCCTTAATACAATAAATGAATAAAATATAATAAGTAGTACGGTATATAGTATTGTGATTGTGATGAATCACAATTTAATTTTTTTATATAAGTAGTTTTTATTAAAACTACTTATATATATCAGTTTCAATTCTTAAAAAAATTAAAATTTTTATTTTAAATTATGTAGTTTTGTTTAATTGAAATTCAATTAAAAATTTAAAAACTTATTTTATTAAATATTGATATTTATATTTAAAAACTAACTTATTTTATTAAATATTGATATTTATATTTAAAAACTAATGAAAATTTTTAATTTTAAATTAAAATTTTAATTTTTAAATATAAGTTAAAATTTTAAATTTTTTAAGATTGAGACTAATACGTACTAATCTCTTTCATTAAATAGTCTTATTTTATTAAAAATTACTTGTTATTTATTTATAAAAAAAAAGGAAAAATCAAAACATTTTGATATTAAA